TATTATATTTAAACTTCCAACATGTCAGCGTAATCATAATCTCCCCAAAATTGCAATGAAACTATGAACAAAGAAAGATTTACGCAGAGACTCCTGGAAAAGTACAAGGAGGATAAGAACAGGTGTTCCGAAAGAGTAGTTCTTGGTCAATTTAAGAACGTAATGTCACGTTCCCAAAGCAAAACAGAAAAGGCATACAATAATGGAACCAACAGGCAAACTAACAAGCATCGAATACGTCCGGTGTAATATTGCAAAAAGAAGTTTAATATTTCTCAATGAAATCACTATGACTACTTTAAACCTCACCTATAATTTACCTCGACTTGCATCATTTGAAACCCCGTGTTATAAATTTGTCCGTCAGTTGTCGACCTCTTGCACGGAAAGTGTGATGATGGGAGCAGGCCCTTGAATATCGAATCAACTGTGACATGTAAACGGAAATACAGTAATATGAACAACAAAGACATTAAATATGAAAAACATCAACTTCAAGGCGAAGAAGAGAAAACAGTAATTTATATTTTTCCATGCTTGCTTATAAGAGGGATTTCGATGTTTCCATTAAATGAAAGGGTTCTTTTTCATGACACAAACGCGTATGTAACTTCGTTTTAACATATGTACATTATTTATTTATGTTCATTTGTAGGCCAACAGGAGAAGATTTGTGGTTGGGACTCATCAAACCTGCGAACGAAACGAAGTGGTATGCACCAACTTGTTTCGTTTACAACAGCAAAACATTGGAAAATATCATGCATCCTTATATCCTATGCTTAGCGATAAACATGACGATTGATTCAACAAATTTTGAACCTTACATGACAAACTGTGAGGAAGAACACTATTTCGTCTGCACAATGAAAACAGGTAAGTAAGATTATGTCAAAACTCCGAAATTTCAATACAGGACCAATAAACCTACGCTGTAAAACGTTCACCGATAAGTTGTCAATGCTGAGGAGACTATAACCTGCTCTGATATACAAACATTGTCACAAATCAATTCTAGCATTTGCTCTCTCTGAAATGGAAGGCCTTTTCCTCAACATTTCTAGAGTGTTAAGTGAAAGAAGAGATTTTAAAGATAACAATACCATGTAGCCAATCACGATTCTTTTGTTAATGTAAATGACCCAAAAATACGAACCTTCAAAACAAATATACTACAAACTTCTACCAAGTATGATTATTCTTTTGTAATATGTGAAAGTTCACGTCATGCAGTGTTGAAATGAATCAATACCGCTATTGTACCCTGGTTTCAATACATTTACAGATTCAAATATGTAAACGTAAGATTTCAGAGATTTTCAACCCGTAGAAACATTTCAAAGCATATATTAACAAATGAACATGATTATGTACGAGGTAATAAAAAAAAATTCAATTGGAATGTGCCCAGGGCATGTGGAGAAGTCTGGATTGCAGCAGATGTCAAGACGTTCCGGAAGTTGTAAGCCCTTATATCCAAATCAGCGAACAGTATCTAGATGTACAGGCTAGTGATTTAGCTGTGTGTTGCCAGGGTCATATGTTCCTTTATTATTTGTTGCGTGTTTTAACTGATATCCTTATACATGAATACTAAGATCGATATCGTTCTTTGTTTTTCCAATAAAATGCCCGGTCTGTAAGTGAGTTATCCCGTAATCGATTGCAAAATCAAAACCTATTCGATATTTTTTTTTATTTTTGTATATGCATGACTATAGCAGTAAGAATTCGAGTGGAAAGTCATTGATGGTGTTTGTGCTACTCTGTATATAGTAATGATTTGTATTACGATCGTTTACTTCTGCATCGATGGTCAGAGAAAATTCTAAGTGCAAGATCAAAGTCAACCAATGCAAAACTAACACACAAAACATGGTATCAAGACATTGATGCAGATCATGGATAAGTTGTACGGTCGTCATTATAATCTCATTTTGAAATATTCTGTTTCCTTGCACGATATGAATTCTGACGTGTTTTATGATCATTATTATGTCTAGTTGTAATGTCGTTGTTAAATTTGTCTCAATTGGCATTGTGATTTAAATTGAATTTACAAGATTTACATTGCAGATAACGTCACTATGAAGTATAAGACGCTTATTCTTCCGGAGCTCCTAGTACTGTTCTTCTTGTACTTTTTCAGGAGTCTCTGTGTTAATTTTGCTTTTGTTCAGTTTTGCCTATTGCAATAGATCTTGAGTTTCAGTTGCAATTTCCATTTTGAGTATACATTGTTAACAGGTGTGTATTCAGCGGACACCTATTTTAACATGACTCTTCTCGATCCTGGTGGAATCCATATACTGACAGACTCAACATATAACACGACGGAAACTGTATGTTCTATTAATCTCAAGAAAGGCTTTCCAGGATTTGTTGCCGTCTACAATAAAGATGTTAGATCGTGTGTAGTGTACAAAACGAATCCAGTATATTTTCGGCACAACTATGAGCTTCTCCCAGTCACCAACCATACCACGGTTTACGTTAAGACGTCAGGACATAAGTGTAAGTTGCACATTATTTCTGATATTTGCAACCGAAAATCGGTTAAATAATATAAAAACAGCGGAATCCGTTTCGACACAAACCTAAATGAAATCCATGCAAATGTTGAGGAAACTATGAATTTGTATAAAAAGTTATGACTCTTTATAGCATATACATAACAATATTTTCTCATTTTTCATGTTTATGTTTAATTATTTAAAAGTTGTATGCTGACTGAGTACATAATTTACATACAAGAAACCTATACCCTTGTATGATTGATTAATCGTTGTCGCTTCCTTTTAGATGAAGTGAAGGACACCTTGACGAAACCAGTCAAGCAGAAGATTATGAACTGTGTACCTTTGCTGAGTAGGTATATCAATTACAAGAAAAAAGCTCAGTGTTTTTTTTTATTATATGGTTTAGTGTATTATGGTTTAAAAGTTTAATTAAATTGTACTTTAATTCAATTAATTAATTGGTTAACAGGTTACGGGGTTTTACACTTCAGAAAGTAAGTTATCCATTCCGGTAACTTTGGATGGAGTAACAAATGAAGCGTATTTTATAAATTATCGTACAAAGTTGGAACACAGGTCGTATAAAAGTAGCGTTAATTGAAAGGCAACGAAAGGGCAATTACTTTAGCAGAAATATACCATTGTCTCTCATGGTCTTTGGCGGACTATGATATTTTTTAATAAATCTGTCATAAGCTAAACACCGCAATTTGAATCTTTAAAATAAGATATGATTTTCGCAAAAGCACATCCCTTTGCAAGTCTGATCACTGCCGTTTTACATGTAGTGTTTATTGTGTGCAGATTTATACAATAAATATTTTGAGCTTATCAAATGCTCATAAGATTGGAATGGTTATGTAGCTCAATTATATAACTTCAAAACACTGACTCTTTATCATAGACAATTAGACATGCATAAAAATATATTTCTGACTAGATCTCTTCAACATGCTCTTTATGACTTTACTATGGCTACAATTACTCTGACATTTTTAGTGCTCTTTTGGAGGTGGTTTATAATGAATGTTGTCGATGTATTTGTTTTGTGTGTTTCATGATTCAAAATTTAAGCAAATATTTTATTTAGATGCTGCAGTGGAGCCAAACACTACTACAATAGAACCAATCGTTACTGGAACAAGTACATCAGCTTGTGAGTATATATATCTTCCAAATTAATCACCGATTTAAATATTCACAATGCATATACATTCCCCATGTATTTACAAAAACAATCGATTCAGACGTCTGTATTCTATTAAGGTATTAAAACAAGTGATCTTTGTTGCCCTGAGCGAAATATCGTAAAACCATGTTGTCATTGACTTATTGACTTCAATTAAAAGCTACAGGTACCAAATGCGAGGTATCATATGTTTGTCATCGATTCGACACCTACATATTATATGAAAGAAATAGGACAATTAAAAATGTGGCTTGTAAAACCAAAGGTATCATTACTCCAAACCATACTTCAATGTTTTAGTGATAATTTCTTTCAGCCATTGTATTGTGCATTACTATTGTTTTATACAAGGATAAAATATCTTCAGTCTATTTTCTTTATAGCGTATTGGATGTAAAAGAATTTTACATACTTCATAATCTATATTTCACGTGTCTTTGATTTCAGACACGTGTGCTTCCCAGACCACTTCGTTGTCAACTTGTTTGTGTCAGCCAACGACACACACAGTGACTGGAAGCTTAGACTTCGACACTATAATACGGAGCCTTAAGATCAACAAAACTGACCTGTCGTCTTACAAACGAAGACTAGTGAGTGTACCCGACGATCGTACGTCGTGTAGAGTGATGGGCTATGTTGCTGCTATTGTCATATTCGGAAGTTGTTCGTACATAATCATGATGGATATTCCTATTATTTTCAGGAATATTGCGCGTAAAAAATTGAGGGCATGCTATACTTTACCTCAGGTTATCAGTGGAAAATAAATAATTAAATATATTGATAAAGAAACAGGAAGTTAGTAGTGATCACCTGCTGGGTATCGAACTATAGACAATAGCATGTATATAATGCTTTCTATATACTCTACATTATATAATTTGCTATGTACATTCTTTGTGATCAGTCTTGTGTATACTGATATCAAACAGAAATGTATCCGATATATCGTTTTTCTAATTATCGTATCTGATATTAATCGGAAAGGAAATCTATACACAACTTAGAAACGAAATGTGAAATGTATTTCATGAATGTTAGATTTACAATCTATATTCTCATATTGAGAGATTTTTCTATAGTTGTAGATATAGTTATATAAGTATCTGGTTTATACATTCACTGATCAGTTCGGTCAGATCAAATATTGATCGAGACGATATCGATTGTTGTTTAATGTAGTAATGTCTGTCTTTTCGGTTCCGTTGCGAATAAATTCAAATATCGGTCGTAGGTTGTACTTTTGCACTGGATGGAAATGTTCAGCGTTGTCAAGACTTGAGTTCCAGTTAGAAAATTGCTCTGATTTTGAAAAACGTTTGGGTAAACAGGACATCAATTATTTCTAAAACAGATAGCGCACTGGCTCCTAATAGCAATCCCATGGATCCACCGACATCACCTGTGAAAAGAAAACCGTAGACTATTCGTCAAAATAAAGTATGAAATTAAACATTCATTTTTTCGATACTACAATCCAAGGTCCATTAACAATCGGAAAAGCTATTATAGTGATTTCATTAAAATAAGCACACTGCTATCTTATTGGATGTGGAATAAGATCTTCCATTCTAATTATACGTACCTTCATGGAGGAAATACTTCACAGGTAACGCTCATTGCGTTTAATGTACAGTGACTAGAACTAAACCTAAATTTTTACTTACTACGGACTGACCACGGGGAAAATATAAAACATGTTAATGCAATCACATAATTACATGTAAAATAAACGTTTCGATAAATAAAACCTAAAACAGTAATTCTGCACTACTAAAGTGTTTGTTGACTTGCTAACAATCCGTTGATTCCACAATGAACCTACCACCTAAATGAATTGAATTGAATCTTAGCACCGCTGCATATTTTCAGACTGTTGATACTCACAAAGGAGAGCAAATATATCGTAACCGATCTGTTGTTGAACTTCTTCATAACTCATCTGTTCGTAGAAAATATCTATTTGCAAGAAATTATTTCTGAAAATGAAGAAACGAATAAAAGTATCAGAAGGTAGCGCATTTTATATCTATGCATTCTTGAGGTGTTGATGATGCCGATAATTTCGGTTCGTTTGTTTTTTTCTCTCATGTTTAACAACTAAAGACAATGTCCATATCTCCTTTATATTCAAGGGAAGTAGGACCTTAATTAATTTTTTGCATACTAATCCATTTCCTTTGAAAAACCTTATAAATAAATGATTACCATTATGTTACCGAAACAATGACTTACCGTGCAAATTCATTATCGATGGCTGCGGAGTCTGTATATACCATTGCCTCATCACGTATTCTCGCCAGTGAATTGATAAAGGAGTGTCCCTTACTTGAAACGATGGTAGAAAATTGACAAAGACGGATAATGTTTGTGAAATTGGCGATGATTTCTGCCTTAACGTCAGAAAAATTTCGAATGAATTGATATCCATTCCTATAATTATGAAACTGACTCGAATCTCTGTCACCAATTACTGTGTGCCACAATTCTATGAGTTCTTTCTCCACTAGTTTTATCCAATCAACTAAAGATTTTTCATTTTCATTCAGGTGTTCAAAAAAGTTGTTAAAGCAGTAAATGAACGTTTTAACTCTTTGTGATGTCAGATAGTCTGAAATGGATAGAAATGTTTCATTTTGAAAATATATGTAATTTTCCAGTTTGGTTTTAATATTTGCTATAGCATGTAGAAATTCGTCTTTGATTTTATGAAGATGGGCTTGCATTGCTTGTAATCGTTGTTTCACCGTCGTTATTTCTTCAGTAATGTGATGCCATAGAGTATGCAAATTTTCCCGTCTAGTTTCAAGTTTTCTAATGGGATAATTTACGGTTTCATAATAAAACACACTCCTCGCAAAAACAAATTTTCTCATAAAATATTCAAACTGTTGTCGTTGATAAAGTAAGTCGTCATTATCAACAAATCCAGTGGCATAAGCTTTATCCGCAAGACTGATAATATTCTTCAATACAGATGTGAGATTATTAAGATTAAGAAACAGGAGTTTCTTATAAATCCTAGCATAATCATTGTGAATGAGAGAATCCATTAGTAAGTACTTTGGTGTGGCTGGTTCATTCCATTCTGTGGAAAGATTTACGAATGAGTGATTTAAAATAGGTGTCCCCGTTTCATATGCACGTTTCAAAGTTGTGTAGTTTACATAGGTTCTACGTATCATTTCTATCCTGTTCGCCACCATAAGTGATGTACAGCTGTGAAGCATTAGACGTAAAGAGGGATCCGTTCTATTTTTGTCTGTTAATAAACCGACATTTTTCTCGATTTTCATGATAAAATTGACGTACGCAATGACCACTGCTTGTATAGTTTGCTCCTCCATATCATCTTTAGCTCCAATAAAATTCTTCCGTACAAGGTATATTTGCATATTATATAGAAACGTCTGTGTATTATATATGTATTTGATGGCCACGAAATGATCATCGAAAGCATTGATTAATTCATCTACTCGCCTAGACAGGCTGACCAACAATACTTCCTCGACGTCGTCAAAATTTTGTATGAAATCATAGGCCAGAGCTACTGTCCGTTGCCAAGTGGCAGTTTGCATTCGTGATGTCACTTCCTTTGCCGCCAGTTGAGCAGTTGACAGCTTTTCGAAATTGTTTTCGTTAACAAACTGCTTTATTGCATATTTTGACGTAGAACCGTAAGACATATCATTTTCAAATGATCGAAATTCACATGATACAGGACAGTTGCATAGTTGCGGCATACTCAAAAGTCCTTCTGAAATGAAAAAAAAACCCAAAGAAATACAACGTTCGTCAATTTTAAAACACCCTTCTTGTCTTGATACCTATTTTTAGGCAACACTGAGAAGAAGATATTATTGTTTAAATTGTAACAATGGTGGGGTGCAAAAGGCATTTACATTCCATCCACACACTTTGCACACATTATTCTGTCACCGTACTCATATCTGGGCAGTAAAATAACATTTTCGGTGTTGTAGGTTTAATAATCGCAGCTAGAAAATATCACATTTAGTCTTGTATACTGTTCAATACACTGGATTCATATCAATGATAATGCAGAATGCTGATTACATTCTTCGTGAGTGATTTTACCGTTGTTTTGTTTAAAATCATTGATTCGTCACGTGTTCGAACATCTCCATTCACTAGAAAGTGTCTTGTATAGATATATAGAGTTATATCAAAACTAATCAAGCATTAATGGTTTGATGATAAGGTGTACAATTTTCGAAAAAAAAACCAGTAATTTTTACGACACATATATCGATATCAGGCTCCAATCTATTATGTACCAAAACAAAATCCATATTTGGCTTTACGTTTACAAGAAAAGGCGAAATTTCAGTAAATACAAACATGAAGATAAACGGGCACCCGAAGTTTGAAAAATTCATTATAAATGACGTACATTGTACATGAAATATGAAACAATTTCATTGATACCAAATTTTGATACATAAAAATTGTTTTCATTTTATCTGTCTCATCATATTGTGTTAGTTCATGGTGTTGCTATGAAGAAATTTATCAATGAATATACCTTGTACCTAGTATAACAAATTAAATGTTTTATAAGTCCGATAAAACCAGAGGAGGTTTGTCGCTGAATAATTGCTCTAGGAAACTGATAAAGTAAAACTGGAACACTTTTTTTTAAATTTAATTTTTTGACTTTGCCAAAATCCTTGGGTTGATTGATTTTTCCGGTTGATTAAACATATCTATAATAGTCATGTTTGGGACATAACTTCTTTTTGGTCAAATTCTTAACGTTAAAGTTTTATAATACTTTTCCATTTAAGCTATATCAGTATAAGCGTTTCGACAAATTGTATTATGTATGTTATATCAGATGTGGACGCTGCTGATTGACATTGTGAAAATGCTTTATAAGCACCATCCATATAAATGAATAATTGTAATAGCTTGAGGAGGTCAATATGAGATTTGTTTTGCTTTAGCAATACTCAGTAACCATACGTACTTTACATTTGTAACCTCCAAATGCCGTATTTAAATTGTGGTTGAGGTCGACTACAACCAATAGCAAACTTTCTAACGAGGACATGACCAATCCTTTACAATATAACTATTGTTTATAGTTTTCTTCCTCTCATTGATATTGTTTATTGATGAAAAACGTTTGCTATCAAACACACTTAACCATTACTTACCAAGCAGAGGTTTTAGACAGGTTATATACTGATAAAGGGTACATATTGGCGGAACGCCTGTAACAAAAAATGAAATGATCACATTAAACAAACGAAACAGACATGGATACGCCGCTGTTCCCAACGCAAACATCGTGCTGCAGCTCGACGTGTTACGCTTATTTTTATTTCTATAAATACAATATCAAAATTCCGTAGAATATCATAAAGTCCTACAAGGGTAAACTCTGTGTTAATATTTTGATTTAAAATATTTGGACGCAAGCAACAATCATTACGATGACAAAAATAATATATATATATATAACATACAGCGTACAAAAATGTCCATTTAAGGCAGGAAGGTTTGTTATGTTTAAAGATGAAGTTTGCACGCATGCACAATAATTTCTAAAAGTTCTGGATAATATTAGACGTTAGGGTCTACTGACGTATATTGAGGTCACCAACGTTTGCCATTCCAGAGTGTGTTAAGTCATAGACATATCAAAATGCATCGAAATATAAGGTTGTTCCAATTTCTCGTCAATGATGTAACAATTTTTCTGAATAAATTGACACATTACTATAATTCGTTCTTTTGTCGCCCTAGCAACTGCAAAGATTTTAAGGCAATAGTGGTCTCAGAAAACACAACCATTGAAGGCGCTATGAAAAACTAGTACATTGGAATGTCACTACTAAGACACTGAATCATGACACTCAAAGTGGTACAATTTTTTTTAATTGCCAGATTTCAATGCATAGTTTGATTTTCTAGAGATTTAGTATGGGCTTTTACTGTTAACACTTTGTGAAATTTGATTGAGAAAGCTTTTGGAATTCTACGATTTCTGGAGACACTAGAACGAGTCTGTCTGTATGCATATAAGTTACTAGTTTGCTCTCATATCCCACCATGTTGGATAGAGTTTGCCCATAACGGATGAAATCATATCTTACATAAGTGTAGGTGCGCGAAGTATTCTGCATTTAGGGGAGACAGCTCTTACAATATCGAGTGTTTGTTGATATTGATCGAAGCCGCACCTGCCATCGACATGTCAACAAAGTCACAATATTCAGCAAGATTAAAATTTGGATGAAGTCCAACTTGCTAGAGATACCCCGTGGCCATGTATTGTTTCTGTGCCGCAAAACGTCAACAACACTTCTGCAACTTAAACGACCCGTTCTATTTGGTGGCAGATACAAATACCGATAGCTATGTAATCATATGGTAAAGATGAACGTGGACAGTGTTAAGCTCGACAATATGATGAGAGTGCTTGCAAAAAAGTAGACCTGCCTAGTGTAAACGATTGATCAATACAAATGTTCGTAAACAACGACCGACCATCATGTTTCAGACACACTGCAGGTTTCTGCTACATGACACAAAAACACAATCGCTGAATACCTATTGGATACTACAGGAAAAAGATAAAAGTTTATGATTTCTAACTTGTTGTCAAACACTAAAAACTCGTATTTGGTTCCGTCAACCCGAATGCTATATTCTCAGTCACCTTGTTTTCGTCAAGTTCAACTTTTACCTGCAAAACTGTAAAACAGAAGCAGTCTGTAACTCGCATTGGATTCCAGTTTGCTGGTTCTCCTAAGAACAATTGATGAATCCCCATGAATATCACCAAATATTTTTCAGCACCGCAATGTCGTTACATCATAGTGATCGATAGCGACTCGTAAAAGAGATTTTGTGTGACGATTCTTACGAATGAAATGACATAAGGTAATGTTTCCATGAGCGAATGATGTATCTATAAACCGATTACAGGATAAGAATTTCATGGCAAACCAAACTTTCAGTTTGCAAAATATGGGTAAGTCTTAAATCTAAGTTTCTTTAAAGAAAATCTGCGGACAAAACAAATAAAAAAAATTAAGAAAATGGAGGGCCGGCAGTCATTTTTTCGAAACGTTTAGTGTTTATATGCGTGTGTGATACTCCACCCTTGGGATCACAAAGTATTATATTTACATTTTGCTCTGTCACCCATTATGTCTATATTAATGTGGACTGAATTCACAGTATTGTAGATGCAGTTCAGAGAGTGCGCATTAATATTTTTTCTGTGGTAGGCTAAAGAGAGTTTCGCGATCCCCTGTTACCGATCACGCAGCGACAGTTTCGAGATCCCCACAAGCAGTTTCCTCACAAACCGTAGCATGTGTTTCATCGGAGTCCCTTTCTGCAAGCGATAATCCTCTTCCTTTAAACTCACTCAGACAAAACATTAATGTAAATGTCCAAGCCAATACGGCTACACCAAGTTTCTTCGCCGGCTCATCATTTTCAGGCTGTTCGTTCACTTTTAACTCGAATTGACGTGACGCCGCAATTTTTTCTGAATGAATGGACCGGCACGGTCGGCCTACGGTTTACACCTGCGTAGTGAAATTTTTAATTCTCTGGATTTAAGTCCTGATATTAAATAGTAATTGTTGAAAGTGTTAAACATATTCATTTCGTCAGCTAATAAAATTTCAAACTTTATTGTTTTATCAATCTGTCATTGTTTTACTGTTGTTTTTCCACGCACCTATTGTTGTCGTCGTCAATATGGCTGTTCCATCAACATCGCAACACTAACGATTGAGCGGGAAATTTGAATTTCAATTATTTCTAAAAATAAAAAAAAAAAAAAAATGACAAAAATGTAAATATAACCATTGAACGTCTGTGAGATTACATAATAAATGCAATCAATGGCTAAATAAAACCTCCAGTATCAGGTTTCACCGTATTGTGACCCTTGGACGGATAACCCTTATATATACACACACATATGAAAGAGCCTTAAATTTTTTAACATGTATCTAATCATATATCGCCTCAGGTATTACCGTTTTTGTGTAACATGTACGTATGTCGACAGTGACACTTGTCGTATGCGAGAAGAGTAAGGCAGTCCATTTGGCAACCAGCAAGAGTATAGTGGCTTGTATATTCCAACGACCTGTTACTGCAAGTTCCATATGGTGGAGGCAAGTTGCGGACCTGCAGAACGCAAATCCATACAACATAATGCTGTTTGATATGTATATTATCGTGCTTGATAAGCAAATCACTGCATCAACAAATTTTTTTTCTTAAGTTCGAGTATCTTTGAATAAGCGTAACACAATAAGTAAACATTGTCATCACAATTCTAAACTGCACGTTCGGCACGACTTCATTGGGTAAATATAATGTCCTTCAAATATTCACTTCCCTACCAAATCACTTAATGCATACAATTGGATGCCTCAAAAGGTAGCATTGCAATTATATGTAAAATAAAGCCTCTATAAAGTGAACTTGTGTCTAAGTGAATAGTTTCGGGCTTCATAATTTTTCAGGACAAAAATGGAGGTGATGACGTTGTAATTACTATCTGGTAATCTGGCAAATTTGGTGTATACTTCTACCTGTTTGAAATGTTGTCCAAAGTTAACATTATTTGCAATAGTTGATCTCATACTTTCACCGTCACAGTTGATACGATGTTCAAGGACCTGTTCCCACTGTTATGATTTTCAAGTCGTCAACTGACGGTCACATCCGTAATAGGTTTCAAAAGATGCAGGTAAATGAAAATTATTGGGAAGTTTCATGGTCGCTATCGTGATCTCATCGAGAAATATTCTATTTTTTTGTGCATTATGGACGTATTTGATGCTTGTTAGTTTGCCTATTAGTTCCGTTGTTGTATACCTTGTTCCCATTTGAGAACGTGACATTACTTACTTGGATTGACCGGGACACCTGTTTTTTTTCTCCGTATAACTTTTCAGGAGTTTCTTTGTAGATCTTTCTTTTTTTCATATTTTGACCGAGTTCTAAAAAATTTGAATTTGAATTATGATAATTTGCCATGATGGTATTTTCTTGGTGTTATTCATTAAAAAAATAAAATCTGGCTTGTCAAAATAGAAAAATAGTCGTTACAAAACAATAGAATATTAAAAACCTACATGAACCATCTTTAGTCCAATGAACGTATGTGCCCCGGTTGTAACAGCGTGGCCAAGGGCGTGAACACGTGGTACCTCTTCCCTAGTGTGGAACAAGATCTTTACTCCTACCGAGTCACGCGGTCCCGACATGTACTCATATTGCTCCACGTTCAGGGTCATGCGCAGTCCGTTCTCACTACCTGCAACATAGATTGTTTGGTTAGAACTCTAACGAAAACCAATAAGAGTAAATACACAGATGTTGGGAAGTGTCACTATACACGTAACCATTGTAAAATCAATAATAAAAAAAATCCTGAAGAAATATGGTCGTCAATTATGTAGTGTGTCTAAATTGACTACAGTTTGCTCCAATGATCACAAGGTATACTTCCTGAAGACTTCGTTTTGTGTTGTATCTTGTATCTTATTTGCCCACAATATGTTTATCCAAGTCTGATCTTCATGTCTTAAAAATGTTGTTGTATGATTTTAGTGTTTAATTTTAATGACCTCATTCATTTTGTTATGTAATGTTTCCATACTGTATAACAAAACCATGATATATCATAAAGAACAGAAAAAAATGGTTTGAAAGCAAAAGAAAGTAAGAAGAAAACGCAACATTATGTCAAGGCAGAAACAGAAGCATTCTGACATAGACCGAATGAATTGGCTTACTGTCGGTGTTTTATACTCTAATTAATTAAATGTTCTGTCTATGTTGTATTATGGCTCCAAAGCTAGATTCTGATTAATATAGGTCATATCAGAAATATAAGCGTTCTTACAAATGCCATTAGAAAACAATACCGTATATGTACCGCTGGGGGGATTGACTCTTTAGAACAGGATTGATTATTTGACAGAGCAGCATTGATGTAGTTTGCTGTGTTATGATGGAAATATCACTCAACAACTGACTTATACAAACAATATTCCAGGACGAATATTAAGCTATATTGTTACGGTAAAACTATGCTTTTATTTGAGGAGTCTCGATTAATAGAAGTAATTTACCAACAGAGGAGATACTTTTGTCACCCTCACGATTGTTGAAACTGTAACAAATTCCATGATCTGTGGCAACAAGGTCAAAATCATCCGGTCCGCATTCTTTTCCTTTCCAAAAACACCTGGATAACATGTAATTTGTCTTAGTATGAACATTAAAATGATTTTTTAATGTTCATTACATTTAAGAATAGCAAAAACAGAAAGAGAATAACACCATTCAAAAGATTACAATTAGACACATTATAGCCAATTATCGGACAGCTATTTCTTCCTGTAGACGCTAAGGGCCTTAATTGTTGAAATAGAGGGAAAATACTTGGTCGAAAGAAATATCAAAATTATGTAATTGTAATGTATAATGTATTACATTAATGTATTATGTAATATTTGTGTCTTGATAAAGGAGACAGATTGCGTCGGAAATTTGTCAATTCACTTGTTCGTACTGTCGTTATTACGTCATTAATTATATATTATAAGAGTGTCACTAATCATTAATAATGAATTAGGACGTAGCATGTAGATTACCATTAACATCTTAATTCTATTAGTAGAGTCTACAACCCCCAAAAGAAGTTATTAAGCAGTTAACGAAAGACAAGTGAATAACAGTTTTCAATACTTAAATGAAAGATTTGATCAATTAAAATGAAGCAATGAATTTAATTCATCATTCAGCAGATTCGTTCGTCAGAAATTACCCTTCATACGGAGAAAGACTTGTGATCACTTGGCACTACATACAGCGTGAATGTTCCGTACAGAATGGACGAGACAGAGCACTCCAGCACAGCGTTTAAAGTGAGATTTCGTTGTGTAATGTGAGAACAAATTGAATAATTGAAAGTAAGAATATCCTTATGTTAAAGTTATATACGTACTTGGTGATAAAGTCTTCCTTGTCATGCGCGGTAAGGTTAAATATGTCGTCTAAAGAAGTGTTTGCTACACCATATTTCTGCAAATCCTCCACAGTGACATTTGCCGATGCCGAATACATTTTCTCCAATAGATGATATATATTAAACCTACTAGCAAGGGTGGCTCTGTAATATCAACCATTACAGTAATACACGGAAACATATTAACATATACCAATTATCACAGAAACACATTACCAAAACAGTTGCATGGTATACTTCATATCTCTTAAAAAATCACTAGGTAAGGATAGGTAAAGAATTAGTTTCCCCTTAATTTGTCTTCTAAGGAATTCGACCACAACGAAGTGACAGAAAAAACTTAACTCTGTTGAACAAACGACTGAGAAGATAAATAATATGTACAAGAAAAAATTAAATAACGAAGTAAAGATAGTGTTGCGTACCATAAATGACACATTAAATTAATAGTATATAACTGTAAAATACTGAAAGTCTGAAACAGTATTAAATAGCTATAGTAAGTTAAAATTAAAAAAAAAAAAGAATCCCGCAAAATATCAAGTACTGATAGAAGACTTTGGTCACTACGAACAACATTAATTGATTTTTGAATTGGATATGAGTAGACATAAAAGGAAGTTAGTGTCATAGTGTCATAATATTTGTTTGTTAATACAAAGTAGTTGAAAGGCAACTAAAAACATACTTAAATGCGTTCTGGTTGCATATGGTAACTGTTGGAAAAAGCAGAGAAGCGTTATAGTTAACTCGAACGTTGACATTGATTGGCATGGCGTAATAATACGTCACTCTGTCAACAATCTGGTAAATCAACATCCCCACAAAAGTCAACAACGCTACTATCCAGATCAATCTGAAAAAATAATGCAACTGTAAGCGATATCGTATTACCTACAGTATACAGAAGTGTGCCTTTTGTAACCGGAAATATTGATAAGTAGGTAGGATTGAGTAGTAAGTGATAAATAAGCTGTTGTCTATTTAATGAATGAAGACTCGTCTAAAAGACAGCTTATAAGTTATATATCAAAAGTATAGATGGTAGACATAGATTTGTTTTACCTTCGTATAGCTGAGATATCTTGCTGTACAGTGTAACGTAACCCATGCAAAGTTGTTCGTTCTCCAAACTCTGAAAGAGGTGAAGTTGTCTGACCAGTTTTGTCTTCCACATGTTTACTCTGCACCACACTGCTAAGATTACGAGACTTCTGGATCACATACCGAGTTGGGCGAATGTTTCTCATTTTGTATTTCTCAATCCTATTAGTAATGCGACATTCGGTCTACTGATTCTGATTTCTTCTTGTCACGTTTTACAGCATTACTTCGTCACGACTTCATGCTATTAAAGTGTACCGGGAAATATTGATTAGTAAGACATAGTAACGTTGATGTCGGCCTTCCTGTTCATTAGAATGTATTGCGATGTGTGTTGAATCAATAGAACAAATTAAATGTTAATACACACCAGTAATGTAAAGAAAATTAATCCTATCTCATTCAATATAGCTTTTGCATGTCAATAAATTGTAAAAATGAAAAAGAAAATTCTTTAACAAATATATCGAGCAATTTCACTAAACATCTATAAGTTACAAGTATTCCTTCTCTGTAAGCTTTAAGTCACCATGGTAATGTCAGAAACGTTTCGGTTGTTGAAACAAAAAATCTTCCTTCTTTGTTCTCTAAGACTCCATTTTCGTATTTCTATGTAATGAAAGCATTGCACGCAGTTGCTGAGCCTTGCAATAGAGAACCCACGTCTAAACACAGCTTTAATACAGGATTAACCTGGTTTCCTCATAGGTAAGCTTATTAGGCCAACTAACTTGATAGTTGAATTGTTATAGTAAGAGTTTGGGATATTTTCCTCCCTTCCCTTATCAGCTGATTACAATTTACGGTATTGCTTAAGGCATTAACTAAAAAATCACTTAGATAAATTTAATCTATTTACCAGCACAACAGAATAATGTGAAGTTTTCATGGAAAATGTAGTTAAGGAAAAATCCTATTTTGTGATATTATCTGTCGCTTTTATGTTACATATAATGAGTTGTAATATTAGTTATATGATGTTACGTTTAAGTGAATAAATAAATGAAGTATACGGTACATCATCGGTAAAACAATCAATTCTTTTCTCGCTGACGCGACAAGAGACAAAATGCTTTTTTTGCAACTATTAATTATGGATCAAATATCTTAACGCATGATAGGTCTTTCATAATTCTTCAGTCTTGCTTAACTTCACACAGTTCTCGTTTGAGATCATGGAACTTAAATTTGAGGCATTCTAACCTGAACCAGTTTAATATTTGTGTGTATAAAAAATGAAAATACTACTTTGCTACGAAATCGTACTAGATAAGACAATGGCAAATTATGAACACTGGATCGTAGTCCACTGGAACAAGAGCATGCGTCTCGGTAGAGCACGTGTCTAAATTCTCACCGACGATACCAGCTTAGCAAGTTTTCGGTCAATCCAAGTATTGTCATGTCAAGATTATACAACGAGAACCCAACAAACATCGAAACCAATACGCATGCTTACTTTCCTACATTCTTCATCAACCAGCACCTCTCGAAGCCCTTTGTCTTCGAAATCTATCATAGAAATCGTAATATTTGGAACAACCCCTACAATATACCATCAACTGTAAGTTTTAAGGGTCGAGTATGATACATGTTAAAATGTTTGCCAAAATAGATATCATTGCATGATTCCTGAAAATACACTGTATTAAACCGGTAAACATTATCTTACAATTACAACTTCAAAAGCACTAACATTCGGAATCGATGTGAAGGATCGATCTCGTTAAACGTCCATCAATGCGAGCTAACCATTATCAATATTTCATCAACAGAATCATAATTGCGAATTTTATCGGACTAATGCTAGCAAATCAACATTTACTTTCGGTAATTCATTTTTCATATTTTATTCCTTTAGCATCACTTGAAGAATTCTAAAAGGACAAAATAACCATGTTTCATCACATGTCGTTTGTGTCTACTAGCTATAAAATCCTCGAAATGTTGAAAATTTTAGACGGATATATTTGGACATAGTTATTTTTTGAAAAAGTCATCATAGAATCATGGTGTTACCACATCACAATATTACAATATCTTTATCACTAACTTTATCCTTTATCTTTCTAGGACTCTGGAGTGATGATAATGGACAAAATTTATGAAGCAATGCAGTGACAGAAGGAAATCAAAACTGATTGGAAGAAATGTGAAAACGAGACCGGGGTATTCACTTACCACGTAATTTAATAAAGTTAATATCTTTTGTAATCAACGATCGCACAAGAACGTCGGGTAAATTCTCAAACATCTCGGAATTACAGTTCACTAGTAGAATATACAATGCACCACCCATAATCTCATAAAGCACCTTAAAGACAAATTCGGTTTTAGTCTCATGACGCAGACAATGCATCGGACACTTGTTTTGGTTTTGTTTTTTATTTGACTCATTGGTATTGTTTAAAGTCTTTCACTGAAATGTATCAAGGGAAGTCAAAAGTCGAAAACCACAATGGTTTTCATTCCGTTTCAGAATTTTCAATATCAAATACTATTAGAAGTATGTCAAATAATAGAGTAAGTTTATTATATTTAATTTGCATAACAAGCTTCGAAATTAGTCCGGAAAAGTCGCCCGCTTTATTATGATATCTCATTTTGCGTAATACGATTTTTAAGTGTTCTTCGATTTGGTTTCCGTAATGATGACATCATTATTTATTAGCTATCATGATCAGTGCATTAAGAATGATTTTATATTGTCTTGTTATATCTATATCATTTTGCTTGGTAGGATTTATTTCATTCGGTGCTGTAAGGTTGCTATTTTTTGGTGTATTGTTATTTATCTTAAGTGGTGTTGTAACATTTATTTCCTTTGGTGTAGTTAAATTAATTTTATTTGGTGAAATTCTATCACGTGAGATAAGATATATCTATTTTGGTATGTTAAGATTAATTTTATTTGGTATAGTTATATTTATTTCATTTGAGATGGTAAAATTGGTGTAGTGTGCTTTAGTTTATTTGGTGACATCAAATTTATTTTATCTGGTGTAGTGAGATTTATTTTGCGCATTATAATTTAGGTGTTGTGGGATCTATTTCATTTGGCGTTGTTAAATTTTTCCATCTAATGTGGTAAATATTTTGGTGTAGTTAGATTTATCTTATTTGGTGTAGTTATATTTATCTTATTTGGTATATTGTAATTTATTCAAACTGTTATAGTGAGATTAAATTTATTATTTTCGAAGGAGTATATATATTTTTTATTCTATCTTTTTGTTTATTTTATTTAGTGAGGTTTCATTTGGTGTAGCTATATTTATCTTATCTGGTGTAGCTATATTTATCTTATTTGCTGTAGTTATATTTATCTTATTTGGTGTAGTTATATTTATCTTATTTGCTGTAGATATATTTATCTTATTTGCTGTATATATTATCTTATTTGGTGTAGTTATATTTATCTTATTTGGTGTAGTTATATTTATCTTATTGCTGTAGATATATTATCTTATTTGCTGTAGCTATATTTATCTTATTTGGTGTAGTTATATTTATCTTATTTGGTGTAGATATATTATCTTATTTGCTGTAGCTATATTTATCTTATTTGCTGTAGCTATATTTATCTTATTTGCTGTAGCTATATTTATCTTATTTGCTGTAGTTATATTTATCTTATTTGCTGTAGTTATATTATCTTATTTTGTGTAGTTATATTTATCTTATTTGGTATATGGTAATTTATTCAAACTGTTAAAGTGATAATACATCTATCATTTCCGAAGGTGTCTATATTTTTTTTCTATCGTTTATTTATCTTTTTTGGTGATGTTTCATTTGGTGTAGTTAGATTTATATCATTTATTGTACCTAAAATAATTTTATTTAGTGTTAATTAAGATTTTGGGGAGGGGTCAGATTTATTTGATTTGGTGCTGTTGTATTCGTTTAACTAATGTGATCAAACTGAAGCACATTTGTGTAACTTTTGGCTTTGTGTAATGTTTCAGAAAAAATGGATTCATTCCTTAAATGTGTTTTCTGGTAAAGATATCTTTCTTTGTTTACGTGATCATAGAGGTTACAGCTAGCGAACTCCAGGAGAGAATGCTGATATTCAGTAGTTTTGATAGCCACGATTTTCATGCAAGAATTCGTCAGCTGACAGCCACACCCGTAATAGGTTTCAAAATATGCAGGTTGATGGAAACTATTGGGAAGATTTACGATCGCAATAGTGGTTATATCGAGAAATATTCTGTTTCTTCGTTGTTGTATAATTTGTTCGTATTAAAAACCTTGATATTACTTACTTGGATTGACCAAGGTTTGCATGGCGGATATCCTCGATGAAACAGAAGGCAAACATCCGGAACATCTGGTGTTTTTTTATCTAGTATTTTTTAAAGAGTCTCCGTGTAGATCTTTAGTTAGTTTAAACATATTTTATTGACAGAATAACATGTCAAAGGGATTGGTCTGTAAGTTTTACCAACTTATGATCGACTTCTCCCATCAATATATATATATATATACAATATAGTACAACAATAGTCACATATTGGCATCTAGGAGGAACCGAGAAAAGAAAATAATTGGGGTGAAGGAGGATGGCAAGACAACAGTATAGTAAATAGAATAGGTATAATAACGAAGCAGATTAGTATACGATACAGAATAATATAGGGTGGGTATTGGGTATATTGACGTATTTACAAAATAGACAAAATTGTACAATTATGCATAATATATATAAGTAACACAAAAAGGCATAGCTAGTAACACAAGATGCATAGCTAAAATACCATACATATGTACAAAAGAAAAACCCACACAGACCTAAGGAATGAGTTATAAACCATTATCTTACGGTGATATTGACAAATTCGCAGCAGGTGGTGAGGTGGGTGGGCTAACTCTACGATCAAATTATGATAAATATTACGAAAGAACGAACGGATATTATAACAATGACGCATGGCTTGGATACCCGATTCAGACGACAGAAGTAGCAAAACGGATCAGACACATATTCCTTCTGTCTGTTCAAATGTTCATCACATTCGTGCCTAAGAAATTGACATTCTCCTGAAACACTAGGTGCTCTCCTTTGAAATACAATCACCTGGATAAACTTATACCTCAACTTACACCTTATAAAAAAGAGTACCTGCGACCATTTCGTTAT